CTAAGTAACCTCTGACAGGTCTTATCTTCTTCTTCACTTCTTCTTTCATCGCTTCCGGTGTCCAGGGAGGTAATCAGTTTCTGCTTCTGGCTTTTCTGGCCGTCTCGACCATAGACACATCGTGCTGTTGTAGAGTTCCTCTTTTGGTGTATACCTTGCATCGTACGGCATCACACGACATTCTTATTTGGCACACCGTTTTATTTTCTGTCTTTGTATGCAATTTAAAATTGGTTCTGTGATAATTTTTTTTTCTTCTTTTATGAGCTAATTCCTGATTTTATCTTTCAACGACTCTATTTTGTGTTGATTTAGGACGTATGCTGTACTGAGAGAAAAAAAAAAAAAAAAAAAAAAAACAACAGAAGAAAAAGAAGGTTGCATTTATTTATCTCATTGTAAACATTGATCACTATACACCAGTGGGCGCTTGAAATATTGTAATATATTATGTTTCTCTCACAATACATTGAGCACGACGTTGGCGTCAAAAATTTGCTGAAATGGATCATTCGACATCTAGACTGCATTGACGTCAAAAATTTGCTGAAATGGACCATTCGACATCTACACTGCATTGACGTCAAAAATTTGCTGAAATGGAACATTCGACATCTACAGCTTAAGGTGATGTCATAATTTGCCATGTACACCCCGAGGGGAGACAACGTTAATTTAACTTACCACTTATACCATACCCACTCACAATGGACCTTGCGAAGCAGTCTGATAATTGGATATGTATGTTGAATGCTGAATTAGGAATCGACTTCATAGCACTCAGGGCATTTCCATAATCGAGCCGTTCCCCATCTTCAGCAGCAAGCGATGAGTTCAAATTCTGATGGCAACAGAAACAGTCTGATTGTACATCTGTCTCATCTTTCTCTTGAGTGTTGAGTCTCGGAAAGATTCCCTGATAACTCCCACGCAGTGCCGTTCTCTTCAGACCGTAATTGGACAGACCAGAACAAGTCATTATCTTCCGCCTCAGAACAGGGCACAACCGATTACGTAACCACATGTACACAAAATTCAAGATAGGTGTATCAGCCATGTGCACCTGTGGAAATGTGCCCCAGACAGCAGAGCATGTACTCCAGGACTGCACCGATTTTGACACATTAAGGCAAACCTTTTGGCAAGAAATAACAGCAGTGGAACGTAAACTCTATGGACCACTGAATGAACTAACAACGACAGTGAAATTTATACAAGAGACAAAACTGCTGATATAGACAACTTATTTCAGGCGAACGAAAGAAGAAGAAGAAGAAGACCGTAATTATCTATCTGTGCCTCCTCACTGTTCACTCGCCTCCAAAAGGCCCGCATAACATCTAGCTTGTCATACATCAATTCACCATCAAGTGGTACAGAACTAGCCAGTCTATGTGTCTGTTCGTTTCCCAGCACACTGGCATAACCTGGAGAAAATATCCAAAGGACGCTAACTACCAAGGACCTGTGAATCGATGCTTGTCACTCTGCACTGATCATGCATGTTTCCACCTTTCTCAACATACTCTGTGATATCAGTTACAATTACGACATGTGTGTACAGCTAATTATAAATCCAGCAGTGACTGCCTCCACCTCCATTCTTAAACTACATTTTGCGATATAATATGCCAGGATTAGTTGCACTAAGCGACGTCCATTCGCTTTTGCTTTGAACCCATATGCACTTCGTTGGATAAGTATTCTCCAGAAACCACAATCGCGGTGAAACACCCAACAAATTGCGCACATTATTTCTAGTGTGCATGGACACATCTGGCGCACCAGTTCGCCTCAGAGCTGAAATTCTGCAAGTGCAGGTTCTTTCAATAACCTGAGACGGCCGCTCTAACGAGTGTGGTCAGGTTCTGCAGCGCCGGACGCAGCGTTCAACCCAGGCTAGGACAAACCATGGCTGCCATAGAAAGGTATTATCTGCTCCGTTTGTCGTACAGGTTGCCAATCCGCGGGTCGAAATTGTGATTCGTTGAGATTTGCTGTGAACTGTGACATAAACTGACGGTTACACGAATGACTGGAGGTCAAGTGCAGACACGCGCACTGAACTTGTCTCCCTTCTGCCAATATTCCATGTACACTAAAGATAATGTGAATGTGAGAACCTGGTGCCACTGTAATTGTATAACCATGTCACCATACACAGAGATGAATCTACTTGAAAGAGGAACATTTGGGAAATGGAAAGGACCACTTCAAATATACACTTTAAAGTGACTTAAAATAATCTGGGCACGAGCTGCGGTCAACGACCGAGAGGGGCACTGAAGGTCAGTGGGACTTTATATTCAACCATACAGCAGAAGGAAAAAACTTTCAGCGGTGCCATCGTGTCATTTAAGACCGCCAACGGTACTCGCGAAAAGATCAGTATATATATATATATATATATATATATCCGGGGATAGTTTCAGGGATAGATTGCCCACAGCCGCATAGAACCGCAAGTTACGCCAGGCTGGCCTAGCTGTTACCGGTGCCATAATTATCACTTTCTTGCCGGTTGAACGGGGAATCTGTTTTCTACCATGTTGGTCTGTCGCCCAGATTGAGATTCTAACATCTAAAGATGGTTAAACGTTCTGGAGTCAGTCCCGGGAAGGAAGGGGGAAAAAAGGGGGCGGGGGAGGGGGGGGGGTTGGTGACAGTAATCTTTATTGGATCATAAACAAGAGAAATACTAACACAGTTACCAATAAACTACAAAATATTATTTAATTTCTACGCGAAAAAAAAAAAAAAAAAAATTCATTTTGTACAACAGAATCACCAGAGCGGTGCTAACGAAGAGAACTTTAAAAAATTTATCATGCTACCAAAAGGTGAAGAAAAGATGTTGGCGGTGGATAGACACACACTAAAGTGGGAGAAAAAAAAAATACAGTATAAATAGGATGCCCTTTCATAGAAACTCAATACTACTTTGGCTACCTTTAGTTCTGAAAACATTTCCTGACCCCAATGTGACCATTTTAGCCAGTCTTTAAAATGCACTTCGATGAGGATTTGAATCTATTTACCCTGGGTCGGCCGACATATGCCCTAATACCGTCTCTGGCCAACCTCAGTGCCAAAATTGTCTCTGTTTTTAACCCCCAACCCCATCCTGCTTTTCCCTGACTTCTTGTTTAAAGTACAAAAAAGGGTTGGATAATGTATTAGTTACTTCATAGGCTTTTCAAACAGAGGTCCTCGTTCAATCCTCTACATTCTTCACATTCGACCAGGACGTCTTTAGCGTTGACACAGCTTTCTAGAATGGTCGTCGGGTCATTTCCTGAGATGGACAGGCGGGCAAGAAAAACAATGCCTATGATGCCTCAGTATGCAAAGGTCACTGTATATGAAATCTAGCTTTTCTTTGCTATTTCAAACTTAACAGTTTAAACTTTCTTATTTTCAACAACAGCTAGATCACATACAGTTATACTGTTTCACAGCACTCTCAAAGGCTAATGTTGTCACCTTGCAGAAGCACATTAGTTAATATTGTGCAGCAATAACGTTCTGCTACAATAGTGGTGACAGTAAAGGTGTTGTGCTGTAGCCTCTACGCCAGGGATAGGAAAACTATGGCTCGATTGCTCCAAAACTGGCTGGTTGTGACATGTTCCGCTTCTGAAGTCAAGAGTCAAGTCTGGATCGTTTCTCCGGGAAATGTCGGTGTGTTTGGAAACGATCAGGATGACAGACTGGCTGGCGCTTCACAATCTGGTGGAATACTGATGCATGATAAGGCAGTCGTAGTTAAGGTTTTAAGAGAGCACGCGTACAACTCGGAACAGCAAACTGATCATCACACTCTGGTGACAGTGATACAACGAGGAGTGGCGAGGGTATCTGGCCGATACTCCACCCTCAGAGGAGAGGAACAATAGACATATAATCAGACTGCTACAATTGGTATTGGAAATCTGCACTGGCTGCTGAAGATGGGGACGAAGAGCTTATGGGAATATCACGAGTGATGTTATGTCGGTTCTTGAATCAGCTCAGCTCAACTCATCCCACAAAAATAGCGTGTTACGAGGAAATCTGGCTTTTATCTTTATAATGAGTTTTTCTATATGGCCCACGGTCAGTAAGTCTAGATCACACACACACACATACAGTGAATGAGGATAGAGAGAAAAGGACACGGAGGACAGAAGGTAAACCTCATACAATAGCAAAGGATGGGACCACTTAGCGTCTGTTGGTTGAGGACCTATGCTCTATTAGAGGACACAGAAGAAGAAGAAGAAGAAGAAGAAGAAGAAGAAGAAGAAGAAGAAGAAGAAGAAGAAGAAGAAGAAGAAGAAGAAGAAGAAGAAGAAGAAGAAGACGTGTTTTTCAACTCTTTTATTTTGTGGAAAATTGAATTAAGAATCTACATCACAGCACTCGGGACACCTCCATAAGCGCCCCGTCTCCATCTTCAGCAGCAAGCGAAGAGTTTAAATTCCGACATTACCAGTTCATTTTGTGGAAACATATTAATCACTTGCCACATGGTCCTCCATGTTACTAGAGAAAGCAACGGTGTGTATGAAACAAATAATGCACGATGAACACGTCTTGCAATATTGCAGGTGTCTTCTTCTTCTTCTTCTTCTTCTTCTTCTTCTTCTTCTTCTTCTTCTTCTTCTTCTTCTTCTTCTTCTTCTTCTTCTTCTTCTTCTTCTTCTTCTTCTTCTTCTTCTTCTTCTTCTTCTTCTTCTTCTTCTTCTTTTTCTCTTCCACCTTGTACCTCATCGAAATGTCAGGGGGAGATGTAATGTTCGTTGATGAGCTCTGTCAAGAGCACTATTAAGACTGGTGCTCATTTCTGCAAGGCTGTTCTTAATGCCATCACTCCATACTTTCCGAGGTCTTCCACTCGCTCTATACCCGTTGTAACGTCTTAGTGTGGCTCGCTGTGGCACATAGTACCAGGGCATTCTTATTAGGTGTCCAAACCACTTCATTTGTTGTTCTGCAGGTGTCGCAGACGATAAAAAAGGATGCTCTACACTGATGACGACGACCCAACATTAAAGACACCAGTAGTACGACCTAATGATATACTGGACATCGACATCTCGCCCGTAACCAGTGCTGCTTCAGTGTGCTGGCAGTACGGCTTCGACTGCAAAGAGGCGCTGCAAGAAGCAGTCAGCAAACCAAAGGTGAAGGGCAAGAAGGCATCTGGAGATCTACATTCTAAAGGCGGCGTGCACATGGGAAGTCCTGTGAAACGAGGAGACCCGTTTCTTCCTTCAGTCTTCCCTGACGAGAATCCAATAGCCGACTACAATGTGAAGAAGAACTCTCGTAAAAAGCCATCAGATTGCAAATGTAAGGGATCTGGGTACAATCTAAGCCCAAGCGCTCTGTTGCCGGAGGAGATGCGGCAGCAGTGGGGTGTAGGGATGTTTGGTAAGCCAACTTTGTCCAGATCGAACGTTATATCCAGCAGCGCATGTTGCAACAAGAGGGACGCTGACGCTAAAAGCTCGCAACCAAACATGGTCCGGGCAGGAGATGGGTGTGCCAGCAGCAGCTGCTGTGTGTTGAGGTGTAAAAGCTGCATGAGAGACCCGTGTGCTTGTTCAGAAATTTTTACAAAAGCCGACGGGTTTCGGATTCCAGAGATTAACGTGACACGGAAACAAAAAACTTCCACGAAGACAGCAATGCCGAAAAGCAAAGAAAATAAGAGCATGAATTCCTTGTTGCTCGGCAACACAAACAGCGTGTCTGTGTTGAAAAGAGTGACTGTCTACAACAAGGACAACAATAACATCATCAGTACCAGCAATTTCCACAGAAACAACACCAGCTCTGTACCGGGGGCTGGCCACAGCTCCTCGACCACAGAAATGAACGGTTACAAGAGTGGACTGATGGCCTCTCAAAGCAGCAGTATCCGCCGAAGCCTCAACGGCAGCCTTGCTGGCAACACTAGAAAGTTAAACTATTCCACGCATGAACACTTGACAACATTCCCACGGGCACGACACCGCCAGCAGCAGCCGGTACAGACTCGGCGACACCTGCCCAGCGTGACATCTCCTCCTATTCTTGCAACCACAGGTTTAAGGGTTCCCTCAAGCATGCTTGAAAATAAATCCCCGATGTCCCGGAGTGCGTCCCAGATGTTTATGATGGGCAACCAAGGATGTACTTGTGACAGCTGCAGACAACGTGCTAACCTCATGTCGAAGATGGAAGAGTTGGGATTTTCCACTTCCCATGCGCAGCAAATGCTGCCTTCATTTATGCTTGAAGCATCACAGAGATACCAGTCAGCCATTCTTCGATCAGCGCTCTCAACCTCGGGAAGGTATGCCCCCTACAACGTCCCAGGGTACAGCAGATATGGCCACACATCAAGCAGTGTTTACTGCTCCCCAGAAAGATACCAAAGCTCGAGTCCGTCAGTGTATAACTACAGCGACTCCCCGGGCATGAAGAGCCAAACTGCCACCAGTACGACGCCGCTGTCAGTAGCTCACCAAGCTAACAACATCGACACGTCCTATCTGGACAGTAGCATCTCGTTGGTGGCCTCTCCCACGTTTTCTGGATTTGGTGAAGACATTACTGACTTATCCATTAAAGACACAGTAGATTTTTTTGTAAGCATGAAATCGCCATTTTTGAAATTCTCATCTGCTGCGCCACCAGAAGCTTTTTCTGTGCTGTGTTCCTCCATGTCGTCTGGGGAACACAGTGTGTCGCCACGATACAACACTAGCTCCAGTCCCTGGTACTGTTCTGCGGGGGTGTGCGGGTCTTCTTACACTATGTCCCCTGTTAGCAGGGAAGCTGTTTACGACTCCTACCATAAATCAGAGGTTTCAGAAGCACAGACGCAGCCTATGTCTCTTCTGTATTCATCGCTCGTTTCTGATCTTGAAGACGAATTGCGGTGTGCAATAGAAAATATCCCTACGACCTGACGACGAGTAAACGATCACAGAGATCACCAGACAAGCGCCACGGGTAATCATTTCTGGCCGAGAAGATTGGGGACAGATGTTTCAGGAAACTGCTGCAGAATAGTCTATAAAATGGCCAGAATTGCGCAACACACACTGGGTTTTTAAGGTGCAATAGATTCAAACGATGTTGCCGTTTCAGCCAAGTTACAAAACAAAATGGCATCAAAGATGCAAATCATTGGCACACATATGATATCAGACCGGATTCAAACTTTGGTCTCTGGACGGGTGCAGTCTTAATCCTTTGTGATTGATAGTATTTTAATTTGTGGATTATTTTTGTTTATAATTTAAGTTGTCAAAGCCGATTTCCTTATATGGCCTCTATCGTAATTTAGAAGAAGAAAAAAACATTATTTAGTGCATATAACTTTAGGGCTTTCATTCACCATACCTGGTGTTACTTTTCATTGACGCAATATTATCATTGTAATCATAATTAAGGTCACTAACAAGTATTTGTCTTTCATGTCCACGGGTGCTTTGTATTGAATAGTTCAGAAACTGGCAGTTCTTGAAGGCGCACGTTTGAAAGCTTAACTGACAGTGTTGACTGCAGTGTTCCCAAATTTCCTGGCCATTCTTTGTCTGAGTCAAGACTTACCGAAGTGCATGAAACTGCCGACCAACGGTAAAAATCCAGCAATATTGGAGTAACTGCCTTAGCTCTGCTATTTCTGAAATGGTGAAATAAGATAGTTATGATGGAGGTCAAAGCAGACCCACATTTTAGACACTGAGGATTTGGCCTAAGTGATTGGTTGACGCTGTATTTATGTTATCATTACCGTCCTTTTTAGGATGAAATTTTTCGTTATTTGAAGCCCTACTCTGGCTCATTCCGGGGGCCGCAATATAGCCTGGCCATAAATATGGCCTAATGGCTGAAAGCGGTTTCTGGGACCTCTCCACGGTTATCCTCATCCACATGGTGGCACATGGTGTCATTGGGTGTTTATCGCATGTGTGATGTCCTGGTGGGGTAGAAAGTCAGTTTTTATGTTTGGCCCAGTTATTTCATTACTGTCCCCTGTACAGCTGAACTGCCTGTTTGCATGAACGTATTTTTTGTGCCACCTCCGCAATAAAGGTTCTTTTACGGAACACGCTCTGCCCCATCTTGCCATGGCACAACTCTTAAACCACAGTCCAATACCCATTAGAACTGTTTAAAAAAAAAAAAAAAAGCATCCATCACAGAAATAGAATCCTTGTAGCAGGGATCACAACATTGTTTAATCTTAAATGCATTCCTTAACCTCTAAACCTCATGTAACTGTTTAGAAATTCCCATAATCATCCAATCAGCTGTGTATCCACTGTTTTGATTTGTCCATGCACATATCCATCCGATCATATAGGTGTCAATGTTTTCTCTCTTTAAAAAAGACACCGCAGAAGATGCATACTCGTCTGCACCTTTAGCAAGTGTATACGAACTATCTGAGCGTATTTTACTTGGCTATAATCAAGTTATTTAGAATGTTATTACTTAGGAAATAAAGTGTGCAATCCTGCAGTTGTCTGTGTGTTTTCTCTGTTATGTACTTTGTCATGGCCAGTGTTCTTGTTACATCGTGCTGCGAACACAAACAAATCACAAGAAGACAAACTTCTCCATGAATCATCATCTTCTCTAAAAGAAACAAAACCTTCTAGATAATTGTACCCAGTGTCAAGTGGAAGATTAGTCTCAATGGGGAAACTGAAGTGACTGGTCTGTTACATAGGATACAATACCAGACTGAGGGCAGCTGAGTGGTCTTGAGGTATGGTGTCTGCCTCGAGTGCTGGAGGTCCAGGGTTCCAGACACGGTGAAGGCAGGGATTATTTCCCCTAAACTTCTAGTAATTTCCCCTGGTCTCTAGATAGTTAAGCACAACACCTCCCTCGTGATTGGTCTATAAAAATATGAGCCTACCATTATAAAACCGATAAGATTACTGGTGTAAAAAGGTTTCTTTATTTATTTCACTTTAGCAAACCCCACGACCAAATCCCCTTAGCCACCTGTATGTCATGATTGGTAGGTGATAGTATTACTGTTCTTCACTTCGGCCAAGAACCTCAGTTTCACAAGAGATGAAATCAGCCCACACTTCTGAAATAAGTGCACGCCTCTATGTATCTACACATCTGAAATAAATGCACGCCTCCATTTGTCTACACATCTGAAATAAATACACGCCTCCATTAGTCTACACATCTGAAATAAGTGCATGCCTCCATTAGTCTACACATCTGAAATAAATGCACGCCTCCATTTGTCTACACATCTGAAATAAGTGCATGCCTCCATTTGTCTACTCATCTGAAATAAATGCACGCCTCCATTTGTCTACACATCTGAAATAAATGCGTCTCCATTTGTCTACACATGGTTTCTGTATAAAAAAAACACAATATTCAACAAAGACCTGAGCACCATATTAAAACACGTTTAATTTATGCTTCACTTGACAAAACACAACAAACAGCACAGACATGCAAAACACAACAAACGACACAGACATGCACAAGGCAATAAATTCAGTCCTCTGTCTTACTTACTGCTTGTACTATTTAGATCTAGAAATCTGGCAAAGTGTTTATGATTTGCAGCCAGATGTTTTTCTAACAGAACTAGAGGAACCGCTGTGGTTTTTCCGGGCAGTCTAGGTTCAAATGTGTAGGGGTTTCTGCACCCCCTCCTTCCAACACAAGTAAAGCTGTTGAAAAAGGTCCGATCCATATGTCTGGTGATCCCATTCTAGCAGCTTTTTTTTTAAAACAATGACACAGACTTTTAAGTTGACACTTAGCCTCCTTCTTTTTCTTCGTGGTGACTGGCTGTAAGCTCCAGTAGAATGTTCTAGCTTTTTGTCCACTTCTAAACTTTGGCTTTCTTCTAGAAGTTGGGTTATATGTGCATACACATTTTACAGATGTGTCATATATGAATGCAGACTGTAAGTTTCTATCCTCTCTGGCAGATACACTCTGACTCCAAAGGAACCCTAATTAGTTGATTTCTATGACAGGCTTGTTAGGGGGCAGAGGATGTATTCTTGGGGCAGTGGATGTATTCTTGGGGCAGAGGATGTATTCTTGGGGCAGTGGATGTATTCTTGGGGCAGTGGATGTATTCTTGGGGCAGAGGATGTATTCTTGGGGCAGTGGATGTATTCTTGGGGCAGAGGATGTATTCTTGGGGCAGTGGATGTACTCTTGGGGCAGTGGATGTATTCTTGGGGCAGTGGATGTATTCTTGGGGCAGAAGATGTATTCTTGGGGCAGTGGATGTATTCTTGGGGCAGTGGATGTATTCTTGGGGCAGTGGATGTATTCTTGGGGCAGTGGATGTATTCTTGGGGCAGTGGATGTATTCTTGGGGCAGTGGATGTATTCTTGGGGCAGTGGATGTATTCTTGGGGCAGACGATGTATTCTTGGGGCAGTGGATGTATTCTTGGGGCAGAAGATGTATTCTTGGGGCAGTGGATGTATTCTTGGGGCAGAGGATGTATTCTTGGGGCAGAAGATGTATTCTTGGGGCAGAGGATGTATTCTTGGGGCAGTGGATGTATTCTTGGGGCAGTGGATGTATTATTTTAGCCCCAGAACCTAGATGTGGAAACACCCAGGCAAAATATGGTTCAGAAAATTATCTAGGAATCAGAAGCAACCATTACTGTATCAACCACGCCACTCGTTGTATGATAGACAAGATATGGCCTGAGCACCATATAGAAAATGATTTATTTATTTATCATAAATGCAGTACAATTGATCCAGTAAGCAGAGGACATTTACATTTTGTTGTTGTTTTTAATAACTTTTTTCAACTTTACAAGTGAGGGGCCAACTTAGTCAAATTATTTCTGGAAAAAATGACATGGAGAGGAAGAGACCACAATACCACATTATATACAATGCCCTAGAAAAAGAAAATGTAAAACTATTTACATCCAAAAATCACTACTTCTCATAAAAACTGGCAGGACAAGTCATTAAAAAAAAATAAAAAACAGCGACAGCAGAAAAGGGAAATTACAACACAGCAACATTCACCTATTAAATGCAGCAGTTTTACATAAAGGGCACTTGTCATGCCAAAACTGTGTTGAACTGTGGAAGTGAAGCATCACCTTCTCCCTGAAGATGAAGCTATCTATGATACCTACGTTTAGATGTTCCAGTTGAGCGGTCATTGCTCAGTCAATCAAGTGCATTATTCACAATGAAGGTTGGCTGCAATGGATCTCTCGCTCACTCTATCTCAAGTCTTGGTTGTACACTCCAAGACTGCTGCCTGTCCATCTCTTGATGTAGTCCTCCCTCTTATAACGATGTCTGTCTCTTGCCTTCAATGTTTCCCCCAGTATGTTTTTTACATGTCCTTTACTGAAAAAATTCACTTGTCTCGTTCCTTTTTTTTTAAATTTCCTTTAGCAATATTATTTTAATTTCCTGTCTCTTCAGAACCTCTGTGTGTTGTGTTGTGTGTTTTGTTGTTTATTTTGTTTCCATGAGCAAGTAACAGATTGTCTATCTGGGATATTCAGGTGTGTGAGGCAATGAGCATGCTGATATATCAGCTGCTCCTGGACCTCTGGGCGGTGAGCTATATTATGATAAAGCGGACTTGATGAAGGCCCCTGAGATCACATGGACAGTGGAAAAGAACAGACAGAGAATCCATACAATGAAAGACTAATTCAATAGGGGGCCAGTAGAGGTTCTGGAAGATGTTTAACACTGAAGGGGAAACAGGTAGACTTTTAATTACATCGCAACTAGTACTATTAGCATGTCCACTCTTTGTTGGCTACTGAAGAAGGGGACGGAGCACATGTGGGAATATCCCGAGTGCAGTGATGTTATTTTTGATTAAATTATTGTTTCCATGAACTACAACCTACTCTGTATGTCCACATCTCCAGGGAATGTCTGCTTCTGGATCATCATCACATCTCACC